TCTTCAAATAGTGGTGCAAAAGCGCGTTTTAGCAGTATTTTGTTAAGTCAGACGAAGCAATTCCTAGTGAGGTTTTGAATACGACAAATATAATACATATTGTTATTACTAACCTGTGTAGTAGTGTTTCAGATATGTATAAGAACATGTAAAACTAAAGCATGAAGCATGGTCGAACAAAACAAGGATCAGACAAATCAAGCCAAATGATGGAAGGATCATGAGTTGTGCACTAGACAATAACAAATATAAAATGAAGATATGTCAAGAACAATCCAAAGTACAACATGAGAAACAAGAGCAAAACTAGACCAAGATAAAGTTGACTCAACACCAAATAAACATCAGATGAAGCTCAATGATCAATCACATAATGGTTAACAAAACAAACATTAGTTGTTGGATAACACAAGACGAAGAAATATTCCAGACGGAATAAAAGTCATTCACCCTCACGACTACTCAGACGAGATGAAAAAGTCAAAGTCTAACTCTTAAATGGAGACTCAAATTTCCAAACGCAAACGAAACATGATGAAAAGTGTCTGAAGTCCATTAGTCACAACGAAGAAAATCATATATTGTCTCCATTCGTAAGAAAAGAACACGGAGTTATCAAAGATATGAAAAGAATGAAGAAAAATTGAAGAGCGCGAATTCACAAGTCAAAGCTGCCTGTGTCAGGGCAGGTACACCTACTTTTCAGAAAAAGGCAACGCCTCCGCAACTACAATGATGAAAAAAGGACAAACATACCTAGGTCATGATTGAAGTCAGAAATAAAAGAGAACAAATTACGCAAAGGACTTCACGTAACACAGATTCAGCAAGCAAAGCATTTAATGCAAGATCAAACGGATTAAATGAAAAAGATCTATGTAGCCATTAACGAATAATTATCTACACCAACGGAAAGCTCTGCCTCAACGGACACATTCAAATTCAAATAACGGGAAGATTTATCACAAGGCTATAAATATCAAGACACTGAGAAGAAAAGAAACAGAGAAGAGAAGCAACAAACAATAAGCAAAAGTAAACGTCAAAACAATCTCACATCTCTTCTTGTTCAGATTTGAATATCTGTGTAAAACTAAGATAGTTTATCTTAATGAGTATAGAAACTACCCCATCCTCTCTGTGAAGAGTTACATACAAACTCCAAACACATTCTTGTAAAACTAAGGTTGAATACCTTAGTGAGTGTAGAAATCATTCTATCCTCTCTGTGAGAGTCACATGCACACTCAAAACATCTATCGTCTGTAAAGCCTGAAGAGGCTAGGAAAAAAATACTTGGAGAACTAGAAGTGGTTTAAGAATACTAGCGTTAGTAAGTGAAGTTGAGGAACCAGGAGTGGTTGAGAATACTCGAGCAACCAGAGGTGGTTTAAGAATACTAGCGTCAGCGAGTGAAGTTGACGAATCAGAAGTGGTTAAGAATACTTGTAATCTGTTGTGATTAGTGGAACCCTTCAGTTGAAGGAGACTAGGACGTAGCTCAGAACGAGTGATCCAGTATAAAAACTCTATCCATTGTTATTTGATTTAGAAATGTAGTTTTACTTATATTGATTTATTACACTGAAAAACTTCGTTTACTACTACTTACTTTCTAAACAATATTTAGACGAAATTGTATTTGTTTGATTTAAGAAACTACTTTCGAGCAGACGATAGATCTTCAGACATAAAGTTTCTTTTAACCAATCTTGCATATTATTTAAGTGCTTGAAATATTAGTTTTTGACGGAAAGAAGCACCTTTACGAAAACATTTTTAAAATCCTTCATTCACACACATTCAACCCCCCTTTTGTGTGTTTTCCACTAAACTTCATCTTTCGCTTTACAAAAGCCTCACAAACACTTAAAATGTATAGAGAAGAAGAAGGAATTGAATCTAACAGGTGTTTTCACTCTATGTGTAAAGTGTGGAAGATTGAGCCCTGGGCACGCTTATATAGGCACCCAAGGAAGGGGAACGACCGTTCCTAAAACTGGAATGGCCATTTTACACACATCTCTGATGTCATCAAAGAAATTGAAGCCGGAGTAGATACATACAAATCAACGTGCAATACAGACACCGACAACCCAATCTCCCCACACAATCAACAGAAATAAATGAATGTGTGGCACTAGAATCAGACAGGAACAAAACATCCTCTACAAACTTTCTACATCTCCAAGCCTTAGATATGGCCTGAGAGTATAAACAAGCCAAATGCTCAAACTTCATAGCATACTCTGAAACAGACATGCTCCCCTACTGCAGTCTTATGAACTCTACCTCTAGTGTTTCTAATGCTATCTGGGATATACTTCTCCAAAAAGACCCCCTGAAATAATCCCAATCAACAGGTACACCCTTGCTCTCTAACATCTGTTTGGTGCCTCACCACCAGTACTCAACCTTGCCCGCCAATATACTGCATAGCCTAACTTCCTCTCCTCAGAAGATTTCAAAACATTGAAGATCTTCTCCATCTCACACAACCACTAATCTGCCACATCAAGATCTGAATCCCCCCTTGAACTGAGGAGGCTAACATCTCCATAACTCTGCTAAATCTCTCCCATCTTGAGAGACCACCGGTCTAGCTACCTCAATCGCAGCTCTACCCGCCTCTATCTGAGCAAAGTGAGCACTTTGCTGCTGCATCACCATGGCCATCATCTCCATAGCCCTAGTGATCTGATCAAACTGAGGCATCACCATACTAAAAGAATTTAAACATTCTTTTACTAACACTTCACCACCATAACTCACCAACACTAACACATATCAGAGATATGACACAAAAAAAACCTAGAAGGATCACTCCCACAGAGTATCCCAAAAGACTCGACCGGCTCTGATACCATAAAAGTGTAACGACCCGCCGTGGTCCCTACACTTAGTGGAATCGCACTAAAAATAGTGAACTAAGATAATTAATAAAATTGGATAACTTATAAATACAAAAACATGGAAAATATATAAAAATAATTAAGTTTTTAAATATTAGGTATTTATACAGTTATCCAAAACTACTATCTCTTAGTACCGGTCAAGCACAAGACTGTTACCCAAGGTAGTAACTCTGACACTAGGAACCAAAAAATTCCACTTCTAGTAGCGGACTCAGCCAACAGCTCCAACCTAGCCCTAATCTGCTCCCATATACAGTATGATCATAACAGTCCATCCACATGGAAACAGAAGGGTAAGCTAGAGTTCAATAATCAACCATACAAGTATAGGGAAAATACTATACCACTCATTCATTCAATCATCATCACAAACGATCATATAGTTCAACATAAAAACACAACTCATTCATACAACTTAGAAGCAACTTTAATACAACAACAACAACAATATACAACTTAATATTTAATGCGTCGTCACGCATATACAACTGGGAGATCTCTAATAACTGAGGTTGAGCAGTCTAGGTGGCATAAACCTACTGAAACCAGCGTTTGGCCTATCTCAACCAGGTCAGGTGTAAAACAACGTTAGGAACTCCGAAGAGAACCAGGTATAGACAACAATAGGCGATTGCTCAAGTGTGCCACTTAGACTCGGAGGTCCAGTACTACTGTCAGGACAGAAGGGTTTGGGTATGAGCCTACCACGACCTTGGCTAGCATCACCAATCCACATATGGAGTTAGCCCACCCACTGTCCTCCAAGTACCACGCACCCTCCAGTACCTAGTCAAAGACTACATCTCTAACTAGATATCTTACTCAAATTGGTCATTCAACCATGACATGGATCGACTACTTCCATGTCGCCCACACAGTACTAAGGGATTCAACTTTAAAATAACTTTCAACTTATCTCCTTAGTACTATGTATCTCAACATAAGACATATATCTTCACCATATGTCCCCAACTTTTCAACTTTACAACAATAAATATCTGGCCACTTGTAATCGGTATAGCTTGGCCTGGCCCCTATACCGTGGTCGCTTTGTACACGTGTGCCTTGACCTTGCCCACACACGGGATCAACTAAGTCCTAGAGGGGAACAACACAACTTCCACTCCAAAGGACAACATCCCAAGGAGGGTTTTTCAACAAATTGGGCTCTCACAGCACCACAACTATCTCAATCCACACAATGGGATGAGCAACTTCGAAAATATCTCCCCTAGTCCTAGTGATCACAACTCATCATCACAGCTTAATTAGCTTAACAACTTAAACAACATACAACTTTTTAACTCATCATCTCAATCAACATTCAACTTGAACAACATAGTTTATCAGCACAATAACTCATCCACATTGTTTAACAACACAACATCTCATTTCAACTTTAAACAACACAATCAACTCAACAACTTATTAGCTCAAATCATAATTTACAACCCGATCATCATAAAATAATATCTTTTCAACACATGGCACAACATACAACTTTATAGCATCATACAACTCTATACTCAACATGCATCTCTTTATTTCACTTTCTACTCATCATACATCTCAATGTAATTATACAACTTCTTATTCAATTATACAACATATTTAAAATTCAACTTACACAATATAAACAACATAAATCAACTTAAGCACCCAACAACTCAACTATTTCAACAAAAGAACACCATGCATAAAGCTTCCCTATCTCTCCTGAAATTAAGCAACCTACATTTTAGCTTCCCTCACCTGAAGATTGGCTCTAAAAAGCCAAGAATCTGAGAAAAAGAAAAAGAAGAAGAAATATCCTCCAAGCTTGACTCTTGAACTTCAACCCTCCAAAAATAAGCTTTCTAGTCTGAAATTCAAGAGAAGACAGAAGACATTAGTGGTCTAGAGGAGAAAAGGAATCATACAGAGAAATTTGGGAGAGAAAGGATCTCACAGACCCAGAGTCCTTCTCTCTAAAACTTCTCTTTAAAAGCCACATTTTCTCCTCAACTACACAACCCCTATTTATAGAAGTTCAAGAGTGGCCAGAACGGCCTGTTCCGAATCCAAAATGGCCCGTTTGGATTGTTGGTTTGTGTGTTAGGTGTTGGAGATAGGAATAGTGGTCCATTCAGTGATCATTGGAATATCATTGGGAACTACAGAGAGCATTGATACCATAAAGCCACTTCTAATGGCCCTTTCTTTTCATCAATTTTTTGAGGGGATGGGGCTTGGTGGTTGCATCTCTCAGGTATTGCAATTTTGTTTGTATAGTGTCATGAATCTTACATATATGTTGAGTACAAAAAGTTAAAGTTATGCATAGATTCACTATACAAGTATTTTTTAAAAAGAATTGTGCTTTTATCCTAAATTAAAATCTAACTTTTATACTTGTACTAATAGAGCCCATTCTATGTTACTTCTAAAACAAATTGCATAAGTGAAAATTTAATTTTATTTGGAGAATAGTATCAATAGTATCAATACATGATAGTACTGTACCTAAGTTTTATTCTTAGAATATTAAAGATGGACTAAATTTTGCATAGGGGGTTTAGAAAACACTGAAAAATGAAGTTGGATTCATTTACTATTATGAAATGTAAGTTTCAAACAGAAGAAAATAATGAATTGTGTGTGGATTGTTTTGTGTAGCTCAGAAAGTAGCACAAAATGGGCTCCAAAATATTGCCATGATGACAACAACCTTATATTTTCATCTAACTTTTTTCATGAAGGAAAAAAGAGAAAGACCAAACAATCACCAGTGAATTAAAGACATGTTTTTGGTTGGTCCTATAATTTTAAAGTTGGCTACTAGGTTCAAAAAAGAAAACAATCCATCTACATGTTTTTACAAGCTTCTAATTAATACTCAATAGATTTATATTATGACAGGCAAAGTTTGAGTCAAAGTCTATGGCAATTATGGCAACATTTTTCTCCCTAACAACTCCAATTGGGATAATAATTGGAATGGGAGTGTCAAGTGTGTACAAGGAGAATAGTCCAATTGCTTTGGCTGTTGAAGGGGTTTTCAATTCTGCTTCTGCTGGGATATTGATCTACATGGCATTAGTGGATCTGCTAGCAGCAGATTTTATGAACCCGAGGTTGCAGAACAATATGAAGCTTCAATTAGGGGCAAATATCTCTCTTCTTTTAGGTGCAGGTTGCATGTCTTTATTGGCCAAATGGGCTTAAGTTTTGGTCTTTTACTTTCCACTACTCAGTAAAATAGAGCATTCTCTTATGCTTAATTTTTTGTCACTTCAATATTATTTCTATTTCTTTCTTCATTTTCTTTTGGTTTAAGTTCCCTTTTAATCTCTTTTAAATGAAATAATAGCACAATATTCATGTATTGATACTATTGATACTATTCTCCAAATAAAATTAAATTTTCACTTATGCAATTTGTTTTAGAAGTAACATAGAATGGGCTCTATTAGTACAAGTATAAAAGTTAGATTTTAATTTAGGATAAAAGCACAATTCTTTTTAAAAAATACTTGTATAGTGAATCTATGCATAACTTTAACTTTTTGTACTCAACATATATGTAAGATTCATGACACTATACAAACAAAATTGCAATACCTGAGAGATGCAACCACCAAGCCCCATCCCCTCAAAAAATTGATGAAAAGAAAGGGCCATTAGAAGTGGCTTTATGGTATCAATGCTCTCTGTAGTTCCCAATGATATTCCAATGATCACTGAATGGACCACTATTCCTATCTCCAACACCTAACACACAAACCAACAATCCAAACTCAACCACATTGATAACAAAGAAGAATTCAAAATCCAACATATAAAGAAAAGAAGTACTAATACTAGACATCAACAACTAATTGATTTAGCTCATATCATTGAGCATTGCTATGTGAGTGTTGTAAATCCCTTGATATCAAGTTCAATTGTAACCGATAAAAATTAAAAACAACTAATTGAACTTACTTGTGATATGATCCGTTGCCTAAGTACTTCAGGTGTTATTGAGCCTTCAGAGGAGAGAGTTGATGGTCCATGAGCATGGCCATGTGTGGCATGTGTATGAACATGTATGTGACCAGCATGATCATCCCCCATTTCCTCATCAACTGTAGGAACCTGCTTAGAGGGATTAAAGTGTTGCCTATGGTAAAATCCTGTGGCAAATGAGTCCACCATAAGGGTCCCTATGGAGGCCAACATGGCAACAAAGCCAGTGAAGGGAAACTTGCCCCAAGGGTTATCTTTCAAGCAAGGTGAAGTCAAGTTCTCAAATGCATCAGGGAGTATGTGGACAAAGCCAGTGGCAAGGATCACACCTGCGGCAAAGGCCTTAACCATGAAGAATATGTCATTCTTGGGGTTAAGTGTTGGGATTTTCTTGCTCAACAATGGAAGACTCACACCAAGAGCACCAACAAAAAGTATAGAAGCGATTGAGCCAAGTTTGTAGAGGAGAACTTTACTTGGATTACTCTTGTTACCCTCTTCTGTGTCACATGAACAAGAATATCCTAAGACCATGGTTGGTAAAATAATAAGGACACAACAACAAACATAGAACAATTTTGACATGGTGGTTGTTGAATTACTAGCTAGGAAGTTCATCAGTTTTGTGGAAATTGAGATTGTCACAACTCACCAATGAGTGAAGGAAGAGAAATTAAGAATGGTGCAGGAACTATGAAGAACTTTGAGAAGTGTTTTCATCATTATTATATAAAAGAGGACAGATTCTAGCATGGGGCAAGTTGGCATGTCCTCCACACTTCAAGACTAACATAGACCATTCAATATGCAGACTTAAAAATCAGTGGTTACAAATTGAAAAACACTAACCGTACGAAAGAAAAAATTTATATTCATATTTTTTAAAAAAGAATCTACATGCTATGTTTAAAGACTACTCCAACCACTGCCATGAAGGTCGCATTTCACAGTTAAGTTGTTCCCATTCGATACTGATTCCAACTCTTTTCCTTCCTGTCGAGGTTTGTCTTTCTTAAGTTATCATACTCATCGGATTCCACCGACCGTCGAGTTCGTCGTTAGAGCTGTGTCACGGCAATTCTTCCATCCATGTTCATGGACCAAAATTCTTTCCCACGATTGCCTTTACTTTTGTTCCAGTGAGATCAATATCTGTTATCTTTAACTTTCAATAGTATTATAAATAAATAAATACATAAAAAAAAACAGGGATCACGTTGCACAATAGTACCTTTTCTTTTCAACATTCAAAACAAAATATTATATCAATGTATTAAATTTATTTGTTTTAGAGTCGAGAGATATATTCACACAAAGAAAAACTTAGATATATCTCGTTATTTGTGAATATGTATATATTCGAAAATTGTTACTTAATTTTAATTAAATAAGATATTATTTTATATTTTATTAATAAATGTTTAATTAAATTTAATATAATATAATAAAATGATTATACAATTTCAATGCTTATAACAAATAAAATAATTAAATTAAAAATACAAAAAAAATGTGAAAATATTAAAATAAATTTATAAATTGTGATGGTAAAAAGGTTAGAAATATGATGTTAACTCTCGTTAGTTTTAATATATTATATAATAAATATGTATAAAAAATACTCAAATTAACATTTTATTCAATAATTTTTTTATCAATAAATATTTGTATATTCAAATTAACAACCATCATCATCGCTGCTTCCACCACTGTTACTGACAGTAGCAGTACTGACGATGTTAACGATAATGGTTGTGGTGGTGGTAGTTGCAATGGTAGATGGTAGTAATGTTGATAGTTCTGAAAGAGATAGTAGTAATAATCTTGTAAGAGAGTGTTTATGAAATTAAACTTGACCATTAATTATTTTATCAATAATTTAAAGACTGATTTATTTCTTTCATCTCTTGTAATAAGACATGCTCCCATCGGATACATTTCATATATATGGGTGTATAATGTGAGAATGACATTTTTATGTGAGAACGAGAAATATCTCAACTGTGAGATTGAAATAAAAGGTTGTGATTAAAATACTCACTAAAATATATCATGGTCTCTCACTTATCATATTAATCTTTCGAATTTGTCTTACTCATTTGCCATCCCACCATTGTTGTCACTACTTTAACACCCAATTTTTCATAAAATATCATATAAGTATTTAATAAATATTTTTGATATTTTTAATTTAATTAATAGAGTTGTGTTAATATTTATTCTAATTATTTAATGTGATTTGAAGACATAATATATAAGGTATTTTATTAAAGATTTTATTTTAATATTTTATTAAGACAGAAGAGATTTGTAACTATGGTTGATATGTTTTAATCGGAGGGTTAAAGAGAGGTTAATATTTTTAAAAGAGAGTTTTTTAATCAAACATTTTTTACACTTTTATTTTACGCACTCGCTTAAGAGCCAGGAGATCAGGAGAAAGAAGGAAATCTTCTCAGAGTCGTGCATCCAATTCTTTTGTTTACCAAGGTAAGGAAAAAGTGAAAAACCCCGCTCTGGGTGTTAATAAAATTTATTAAATATATAACAAAAATTGAAATATATATATATATATATATATATATATATATATATATATATATACAAAATTATAATATTTGATAAACTAAATTCATGAAAATAAAATTACTAATATTGTGCTATTATTTCATTTAAAAGAGATTAAAAGGGAACTTAAACCAAAAGAAAATGAAGAAAGAAATAGAAATAATATTGAAGTGACAAAAAATTAAGCATAAGAGAATGCTCTATTTTACTGAGTAGTGGAAAGTAAAAGACCAAAACTTAAGCCCATTTGGCCAATAAAGACATGCAACCTGCACCTAAAAGAAGAGAGATATTTGCCCCTAATTGAAGCTTCATATTGTTCTGCAACCTCGGGTTCATAAAATCTGCTGCTAGCAGATCCACTAATGCCATGTAGATCAATATCCCAGCAGAAGCAGAATTGAAAACCCCTTCAACAGCCAAAGCAATTGGACTATTCTCCTTGTACACACTTGACACTCCCATTCCAATTATTATCCCAATTGGAGTTGTTAGGGAGAAAAATGTTGCCATAATTGCCATAGACTTTGACTCAAACTTTGCCTGTCATAATATAAATCTATTGAGTATTAATTAGAAGCTTGTAAAAACATGTAGATGGATTGTTTTCTTTTTTGAACCTAGTAGCCAACTTTAAAATTATAGGACCAACCAAAAACATGTCTTTAATTCACTGGTGATTGTTTGGTCTTTCTCTTTTTTCCTTCATGAAAAAAGTTAGATGAAAATATAAGGTTGTTGTCATCATGGCAATATTTTGGAGCCCATTTTGTGCTACTTTCTGAGCTACACAAAACAATCCACACACAATTCATTATTTTCTTCTGTTTGAAACTTACATTTCATAATAGTAAATGAATCCAACTTCATTTTTCAGTGTTTTCTAAACCCCCTATGCAAAATTTAGTCCATCTTTAATATTCTAAGAATAAAACTTAGGTACAGTACTATCATGTATTGATACTATTGATACTATTCTCCAAATAAAATTAAATTTTCACTTATGCAATTTGTTTTAGAAGTAACATAGAATGGGCTCTATTAGTACAAGTATAAAAGTTAGATTTTAATTTAGGATAAAAGCACAATTCTTTTTAAAAAATACTTGTATAGTGAATCTATGCATAACTTTAACTTTTTGTACTCAACATATATGTAAGATTCATGACACTATACAAACAAAATTGCAATACCTGAGAGATGCAACCACCAAGCCCCATCCCCTCAAAAAATTGATGAAAAGAAAGGGCCATTAGAAGTGGCTTTATGGTATCAATGCTCTCTGTAGTTCCCAATGATATTCCAATGATCACTGAATGGACCACTATTCCTATCTCCAACACCTAACACACAAACCAACAATCCAAACTCAACCACATTGATAACAAAGAAGAATTCAAAATCCAACATATAAAGAAAAGAAGTACTAATACTAGACATCAACAACTAATTGATTTAGCTCATATCATTGAGCATTGCTATGTGAGTGTTGTAAATCCCTTGATATCAAGTTCAATTGTAACCGATAAAAATTAAAAACAACTAATTGAACTTACTTGTGATATGATCCGTTGCCTAAGTACTTCAGGTGTTATTGAGCCGTCAGAGGAGAGAGTTGATGGTCCATGAGCATGGCCATGTGTGGCATGTGTATGAACATGTATGTGACCAGCATGATCATCCCCCATTTCCTCATCAACTGTAGGAACCTGCTTAGAGGGATTAAAGTGTTGCCTATGGTAAAATCCTGTGGCAAATGAGTCCACCATAAGGGTCCCTATGGAGGCCAACATGGCAACAAAGCCAGTGAAGGGAAACTTGCCCCAAGGGTTATCTTTCAAGCAAGGTGAAGTCAAGTTCTCAAATGCATCAGGGAGTATGTGGACAAAGCCAGTGGCAAGGATCACACCTGCGGCAAAGGCCTTAACCATGAAGAATATGTCATTCTTGGGGTTAAGTGTTGGGATTTTCTTGCTCAACAATGGAAGACTCACACCAAGAGCACCAACAAAAAGTAGAACATCTTCCAGATGTAGATTCTTCAATCTTCAACACGTACTTCATCCATAATGGCCCGTACTCCATCCAGAACGACCCGTTCTCAACTACGATTTACAGGTTAATTTAGTAGTTTGGAACGGCCCGTTCCAGATTGGGAACAACCCGTTCTGGGTTATTAAATCACCCATATTGGACTTTTGGGCCTTCTGAAATAACTTACTACGTTATAGATAACAAATAAAGAAAATTTTTCTTGAAATTCTTTTTAACAAATATCACAAAATGATAACATAATTATATTAAGAGATGAAGGTTAAGAGAGAATTATTACACAATGATCTATATTGGTTCAACCATACAAGAGCCTACATCCAGTTTTTGACTTAGCACACCACTAAATCAAGTCATTCCACTATAATATTCTTTACATACACCATGTACAAGCAATATTACAATCTGAATGAAAATCATACACAATCTTGAATCCACAAGATTACACAAACAAAGATTCTTGCACCCAACAAGAACCTACTTGAAACAAGAAACCAATATCAAGATTTCTCTTAACTCTTCTAAAGACACCCTATCTCAAAGAGTAACACATCCCAAAAGTACAAACAAAGATTTAAGATTGAAAAGAATACATCTGATATGTGTAGAATAATCTTGTACATAGATTAGCTTAAAATTCTTGAAATCTTTCAAGAACTCATCTTCTTCAATCAATCTTTAGCACTTGTATTCTTTCTGAAAAGTTTGTGATATGATATTATTCTAAAAAGTTTTTCAAATTATATATGATCTCTCTTTTAAGTTTTTTTAAAAGAGTTATATTTATGGTGCAAAAAAGATTTTGACATTTTAAAAATTTTGTAATAGCTCTAATCTATTACTTGTGAAGGTAACCTATTACCAATTTTTTAAAAATTGAAACCACATTGATTTTAGAACAAAGGTGATCTATTACCAGACATGGTAATCTATTAACCCATGATTCTTAGTAAGCATAAGACTTAATTTGTACAGAGATAATCGATTACTGGAATGGGTAATCGATAAACCCGTGTTGAAAACACTTGTTTCACTCAAAAGTCACCATGGTAATCTATTACCAAACATGGGAATCGATTAAAACATTGAGCACTACAAATTTTAATTAAAATACTAAGTTTTAGTAATCTATTACCTGAAATGGTAATTTATTACCTAACTTAACATTGAATTCTTTTAAATGATTCAAGTTTCATTTAATGTTAAAATACTTTGTAATCTATTACCAAAACTTGAGAATCTATTACATTATATTTTCACATAAAATGAGAAACATTGAGATATGTTTACTAAAAAATAAGATAAGTTTTGAAAACAAACAACATAATAAGCAAACACATACAAGCCTAAGTCAGTCTCATCAAACAACCAATACAATATTCTTTTATCGTAGGCTAAAAATATAAAATGAAGCAAGCTTAAACAAAGCTACATCAAAACTAAAACTACATCTTCAAAAAAGCATTAGACGCAACACATACATCATCGCTTTAATGACCCAAACCTACTGCTTAAGCAAACACTTGCTTATGCCAACCTTGAGCCCCACATATATTTCCTTCTCTCTTAAGGTAGCACTTTGCTTTAAATTAGGGTAGAGATAGTCTTAACCATGCTTAAGCTAGCCTAGAGACACTCAAAAACACTTGTTTAAGCTACCACAATTGGTTTGCTTAAGCTAGGCTCACTTAATCTAGAACGAAACAAGTTTTCCATGCTTAAGCTAGTCCCAAGACAAAAAATTTGATCGCTTAAGCTATCACTTTTGGCTCACTTAAGTTAGACTTGCTTATGCTACCATATATATTTGGCTCGCTCAAGCTAAGCAAGATGTTTAGCTTTTTCATAGCTTCACTTAAGCAAGAAATGGTCTCACTTAAGAAACCCAACATAAATGCAAATAACTTTTTTACATAAACAAGGAGTTTTACCAAAATTCCCTTTATTATTAAACCCCTTTCACATACCTAAACATATTTTCAACAACCACAACAATAACACATAGTCTAAAACTTCTAAAACACTAAACCAGATCCCAGAATGGAAAAACTATTAAAAATTAAAAATTTATGAACACCATAATATTCCAAAACCCATTAGAATTTATCGACTCCTTATCTCTAGTTATTATAACAGTCCTTAGATTTGAACTCTAAGCGGCTTCCCTAACACCCCTCAGATTTGACCTCTAAGGGACTTCACTCCACGACACTTCAAACGATGACACTTCGTGCAACTCCTCGTTGGTCAGAACCCTCTGTGGGTAGCCCTTTTTGAGATGTTCATTTATTTTTTAGGATAAAAAATTGACCCCACAAACCAACTTACACACTTTCTAGGAAACTTCCTAGAAGGTCATCCATTCCTAAATTACTCTAAGTCAAACACGCTTAATTATGGAGTTCTTATGTGATAAGCTACCAAAAACAAGATGCTTCTTGTTGGTATAGGTAGTACAAAATAATTCTTTTAAGTCATCCTCAACTATATAATCTTATACTTGTACAATCTTTGGATCCCTCTCATTCCCATGTGTTTGGGATGTTACAAGCCAACCAGCCTCTGCTTGGTTTGCCCCTGAACCATATTGTACTAGGAGAAAGGACCTGCTTTGATACCATTTATAACACCCGCCAAATTTGACCTCTCACTTTTTAGGCTCAGAAACTGACCCCATAAACCAACATAAGACTTTTCAGCATACTTTGTCCTCACTCACACACTTTCTAGGAAACTTACTAGAAGGTCACTCATCCCTAAATTACTCTTAATCAAACACGCTTAACTGTGGAGTTCTTATGGGATAAAATACCAAAAAGTATATGCATCTTGTTGGTATAGGTAGTACAAAATAATTCCTTTAAGTCATCATTAACTATACAATCTCATACTTGTACAATCTTTGAATCCCTCTCATTCTGGTGTGTTCGAGTTGTTACATCTAATTAACCACATGCATCACCTAACCACAATTAATTAAACTCGAAAACCAACATCATAGGGTTTTCCCCAAATTCTCAATTCAACAAGCAATCAATATCAACCACACAACAAATTTAGTTGGCTCATTCCCCCCAAGACAACAACATACAAAAACATGTAACCTTAAGTGTAAAGTCATCCACAATTTAATTTCGGGTTAGTCAATAGGAATTAAGATATCACATTATCTAATTCAACATTAACATAAAAAAGAATCCAAAACACAACATTTCCCCAAGGGAGAAAGGGGGAAGAAGAAGAAGAACTCGTGGGGAAAGAGGTTTGTAGTAGTTTTCAAGGATTGTGTTTCTTTTCATACTTATGTGACTTTTGTTCCCCTTTTTTCTTTTGTTTTTACTAGTTATCTGTCTGACAATCCTAAAACACCCCTTTCTAACTCACCCACCAACATTATTCCCTCTTTATTAAAACTCATTTTAATAACCACAACATCTATACTATTAATAAAGGGGATACTTTTTTTTAATATATAGAAATTTTGGATTAATTTACCCTTATAACTACTTATAACTTAAATTTTCTTTTATTTATTTATTTTTCTCTTATTTTTAGTTGGTTGTGACTTTTAGCGGTTTTTAAACATCTCTCACACTTGAAATAACCACTCATTATTTTTTTCCTTTCTTTTTTTAAATATATTTTTCCTCTAGTATAAAAATAAAAATAAATAACATATAATTAAACCCTCTTTTATAATATTAAACGAGCATTTAATTATTTAAAGCACACATACAAGAAAGACACAATGTTACATAATTGATTATGTAATCGATTATCTATTTATATAATCTATATTCATTTATTTTTAAAAATATAGAATTTTAAATATAAATAATAAATATAAGTATTATTATTATAATAAATAAATAAAATAATAATAAAATTTCCATAAATAGAAATTTATTAATTTAACTTTTTTATTTAATCTAATATAAATTAATTGAATTTTATCTTCCTTTCATTTCTCTTCTATTTTTCTCTTGCCAAACAATTTTAATTTTGATTTCATTTCTTACCTATTTCCTTTTTTCTTTCTCTTTCTTCTATTTCTTTTCTTTCTACTGAACACCATGTTAAACATACATTGAGTCATAATATAATTATATTTAAAATTATTCATTTTTTATTGATATAAAAAAAATGAATAAGGAAAATTTAATCTCAAAGCATAAGTATAATTTATATATTAAAAGTTTATTTATTTATAGTGAATTTGAATCATAATATAATTATATATTAAAAATATTATTTATTACTAATATAAAAAAATACATACATGCTATAATACTAATTCTATTTTAGAAATATAAAATTTATCCGACTATCGCGATGTGTCACGTACCGCATCTGTATGTTACAATATAGGCCAACTTTTATTTTCTTTCATTCTTAACTACTTTTTTATGGTGTAAATTAATAAATATTATTCTTTTATTAAATATGTTTTTAATTTTCGTAAAATAAATAAATTTTGATTTTAGTCTTTGGAATTATTTTTTTTTTCATTCCTTTAAAACTTAAATTATTGTTCTTAATTTTAATTATTGTGTAATTATTTTTAACTATTTATTTATTTACTAAAATATTAAGTCACCATCTCAGGTATTATCCACAATTGTTAATGTTACTATGTTAGCATATGACACCTCTAAAATATTTTAAAGGTCATTAAAATAAATTATTTATAAACCTTAAAGTCATCCTTACGGAGTAAAAATAGTGACTTTAAATTTTAAATTGATGAAAATCAAATAAAAATAATTTAAAGGGATTAAAATAAAAATATACTTAATTTACAAGGACCAAAAACAATGTTTACAAATTTTAGAAAGATAAAAATAAAGAAAAAAAACTCAGGGACCAAAATCAAAACTCATTTATTTTAGAAGGATTCAAAACATATTTAATGCATTTTTTATATTAATTTTTTGTGTTACACTTGATACATTT